TATAGAAAAAGCATGGGAAAACCGATATCCATAACAAGTTTTGTGGTTTCTTTGAAAATAACATACCTATTTCGGGAGAACCTCTTTGTGAGCTTTGAATGAGAGAATCACATTCCAGACTAAAGCGATGACGTTAGCAGCAAGAACCTGAAATTGTTTTTTTTTTTTTATATGAATGAACATAGGTGAAAATACAGTGGCCTAAACCACTAGCAAAACTTAAGCTGAATGTAAACATAAATAATATGGCAAAGGGTGACAACAAATCAATTCTCCATGAACAACCCTGGAGGTGAAAGTCGCTGAACCTAATTATGGTCAGCACACAGCACCTACTGCACAGATAAAGGTGTGGTTCACTCTGCCACTACACAATCAGACAGATCAATTTGGGCACAATTTTAGCTCATTTCTGGTGTTGAATTAGATGTTAGAAGCAAGTGGGGAATGTGAAACTGTTCCTCTTGTGCTACTTGAAAGGTTTTTTTTGAACCAACACTTCAAAGGTATCTAACCGAGAAAGATATGTAACATGCAAAAAAAACACTAATGCAAAGACACACAATGCTCATTCCAACCTGAAATTGCTGTGGGACAAAACGGAAGTTTAGAAACTGAAATGGTATCCAAAGTTGCCAATTTGCAAGAACAGCAGAAAACCACTCCTGCAGAAAAGAATGTTAAGAGAGTTTAATGCTAAATAATCCTTCCAACTGGCTGTGTTCAATGGTTTACAGACATGTAAGCCACAGAAGGAACAGAAAGGGATGCCTCTAAGTCTAAAACATTACCTGCTGAAGCTTAGGTAAGACTTCTGATGGCCTTCCCTCTAACGTCACCAATGTTGACAAGAAGACTCCAATGAATATAGGAGAAAATACAAACTGCAATCATTTTAGAATACACAGAACAAATTTAGTCCAGCAGCATGGATGTTTAGTAATTAAAATTATGAAGATCAACTACAGAAAAATAGGTGTCACCTGATCAACTAAAAGGCGCAAGAATGCACCTGATGCTCCAGGCAATGTTACCAATTTACTCAAATATAAGTACCTAAAAAAAATCAAATTGAGAAATGAAAAATTAGCAGGATCCCATAAAAACAGAGGTGTTTTTGTATATTTTTTTTTCTTTGAGAAAATTCTGCTTGACAAGATAGGCAATTTCATTGGAGAACAGATGATGCCAAAACAATTTGGTAGTCAATGCAGCATTACTATTTAGTAGCACAGATTGGATCATCCAAACTTCAGGCAAGCAAAAACATGGAGTCATTTTTCAATTGTAGAGCTTTGACAGAAAAAACTGAGGCACAAATCTTTTAGGCCAGTATTTTCATGAATGGCTCAATGTTAACTCTACTCTTCCACTGACCTTCTCTTTTTTCACAGGAAAATCACACATCCTGTTATTAACAAAACAAAATATGAGAAGTCTGAAGGATTACCAGAAATGCAACGTAGGACCCACCAGTACCAGCCCCAAGAAAGTAAATACGAATGTTCTTTTCAGGTCTAGGGATGGAGCTTGATCAATCACAAGCTGAGATAAAGGCCAAGATTTAGAAAATTTATTATTAAAATGGTCTTATAACAAAAACATTTAATAAAAATAACTTAATTACAACAATTGAAAACTGCAAGGAGTTCTTAAGAAGATGCCATTGCGTAATCAGGACATGTATATGGGATAACACATAAATACAAAGGTGGGCCTAGCGGTGACAACAATGGTGGTAAACTTGAGTTTAAATGTTCTACAGTTAAAAAAAAAAGTTTGGATGTTCTCACAAGTACTTTAGGCCACCCTAAAGGTTCAATTTAGTATTTGATGTTACTTTTTTTGTTTTTTGGGGGGGGGCGGGGGGGCGCAGGAAATTCGATGCTTTCTCAAACACTGCTGACACCTTGTTTAGAGGCATGAGGAAAAATAATAGGTCATACAAAAACCATGTACGCGAAATAAATGTTTCCCAAATTCCACAAATCAAAGAATTTTAAGACCATATAGATATCAGAGTTTATTGATCAATATTTAGAACAGTTTCAGCTCATGATGCATCCACTGGTCACTATACAAAGCAAAAACCACCCATTCTATGTAATCAAATGAATGGCAATCAATATGATTCACAAACACCCCAATGACACATCTATGAACAGAAATAAACCCGCAAAATAACTAAAAAAGTGAAAGAGAGAGACACATTTTTCTAACTTCTATTTCCATAACCTGTAAAAAATTACCTGGCAGATCAAATCCCCCATAAGAGTCAATATTGCAGAAGTGACAGCTTTAGTTAACACAGGGTACTTCGCTAGAAGATTCAAATACCTGCAATAACAAAGAACTAAATTTGAGTTAAAGTGATCATGTTTCTAATCTAGATTATTAACAAACAAGGATAATGACAGATTACAACACAAAAGGTGGGAAAAAAGTAGAGAAAAAAAGATTCAGTGCAAACAAAGATAACAAATAGGGTAGAATATGTACATCCCATACGAATAGATGCCATACTTTCAGAGAGTTCCACTTTAGGAGTTCAGAAATATCAAATCAAACAGTTTTATTGCGTTCTCAAGCACTTTAGAGAAACTCGAAACAAGGAATTCAAACTTCCTACTTGACATCAAGAATTTTACTTGCTACCAAACACCAAGGAGGGAAAAAAAGCTGCCTACGCAACATGTATCAGATCACCAATAGCTTAAGAAATGAACAGATTAGCAAAACTCAAAATTCATTATTACCATGAAAGGAAGGACCAGTTTCTATTTCCACCTGAACCAGAACCACCACTAGCACCACCACCTTGACCTCCTCCTCCACCAGAAGAGCCTCCAAGCCCACCAGAACCACCAGAGCCACCACCAGAAACAGCCAAGACACGAAATTGATCAAAATCCAATTGCCTATATCCAGTTTTAGAACCACCCATGTCCTTAAACACAGCTCCATGACTAGAATTTGAAAACGGAGAAGAAGACGAACAGGCCCTGAATCCAGTTATCTGAGCAGGGTTTAGCGAAAGCTGAGTTCTTAGGCTAAAATGAGAAGTGGGTTTAGGTGAAAACCCTACGAAACGGTATAAGAGTGAAGCTTTGCGAGTGAAACATACTGGGTTTTGCACCATTTTTGCTTGGAATGAAAAAGATTGGGTTTTTTGTGGTTTTTCTTTTGAGGGTTTAAAGGTGGGGGTTTTTGGTTAAAGATTGGCTTTTCAAAAAGTAGGGTTTTTGGCTACTGATGAAGGTTTAAACAGTGGAGAAGAATTTAGCTCAAAAGACTTCGACTTTGGAGTGAGAGGGGGGCACACTTGCCGCTTCAACTCTGTTTTGTCTCTGCTTTTTTCTGTTAGTTTTGTACGTAGTGGAATTGAAAGGGGGTTAAAGATGATTCCTTTATATTTTTTTGTACGGTAGGAATTTCATTAGAAAGGCCTTAAGGTTTATAGTTACACTAAACACGGGCTATTCAAATTTCAAGCCCATCATATAGAAGAGCGGGTTGCTTTGATAAAACGGTGAACAGAGGAAAGGCTCTCTCTTTGGCTCCAAGAACTAACGTGTGATCTTCTCATCTTCCACCCCGTTTTTGACCAATTTATGCTGTCATATAAATAATAAATAAATAAAGTTAAAAGATGGGGAAACACTGTTTCTCCACATAGTTCACATGTATTTGTTTTTATTTTTATTTTTATTTTTTAAAATTATTAATTTTTTTATTTAATTTATTTCTTATATAATATGTTTATAAAATTTTAATATTGATAATTTATTTTAATTTATTTTTTATATAATTATTTAGTATAAAAAAATATTTTAGTATTGAAATGTGACACAAAAAAATCTTAGCTTCCAGATTTGCGGGTTTAAAGAGGGTTTTTTAGTTAAATTTCTTAGCTTCCAGATTTGCGGGTTTAAAGACGGTTTTTTAGTTAAATTTAATTATTTATTTTTTATTATATAATTAAAAAAATAATTTTAAAAAACATGTTGTTAAATTTTACAAAGTCATTGATTGGTATGTTTTATTATATAATTAAAAAAATAATTTAAAAAAACATGTTATTAAATTTTACAAAGTCATTGATTGGTACGATAAGTTTAATTTTTTTTTATAAAAATTTATTTTTTTATTTGATGTTGGATTTTTGATATTAAACTAATTAAAAATTAAATTTTATAATTTATTTTTTATATTTTATGAGGTTATCATAATTAAAAAAAAAATCATGTTTGAAATTTGATTTTATAATTATTTATTTTTATTATTATACAGTTAAATAAATAATAATTTATAAAAAATATTAATTTTAATGAAATCTATTATCCCATTTACAAGTTTGACTTGTTAATATTATGTTGAGTAATGCAAAGCTGTTTGACTCAAGGCCACTTCGTATGATAAAGAGATTTCCCTGGGAATATTGCGTTTGAGTTTGCTGATAATTGTTTACCTGGTATGCCGCATTCCAAACCGCATTCAAATGATGTTTTCAGTGGGGGTTTCGGATCTTATTGAAATTATATTTTTTTTAAAATTAAAATTTTTTTATTTAATTTTTTTAATGTTTTAAAATTATTTTAAATCTCAGTTTGAAATGCTGACAGTTTCCGCGAAGATAAACAGGTTCGAAAAGTTAGCAGAAAGCTGGAGAGGTTTTCTAAGGAATCTGGGAGCATTCCATTTAAAGGATCGTATCCAATCCTCAATACTTCTAACTCCCTACAGTTTGTTGGAGAATTGACAAATCTAAGTTCTTAACTCGAAGGATCATTGGTAAAGGAATTGGATTCCAAACATAGTTCTTTCAAGGCTCTCAAATTTCCAAGTTCTTGCTGAGAATTTCCATGGATGTTGTTATATAACAAGTCAAGAAAATTCTACTCCTTGCTTCTCTTAAGTTCTCCCATGGTATCAGAGCTGTTAAAAGACTCCTACGAGTTTTTTTCTTGATCCAAAACCTCTCTTTGAAAATATCCTGCACCATGGCCAGAAACACGACTAGCAGAACCAATGTATCACTCATCTCTTCCACTTCTTTCTTTGATGGAATAATCTCCATTAACGCAACTTCCCAACTACCCATCAAATTGAACAGCAACAACTTCCCCTCTTGGAAAGCACAGTTTGACGCCCTATTATATGGTTATGACCTCATGGGATTTCTTGATGGGAACACGACATGCTCATCCAAGGAAATGATTGCCAAAGATGGAACAACTGTTTCAAATCCAGACTGTGTTATTTGGACTAGGAAAGATAAATTGCTCCTTCACGCAATCCCTGCGTATCTTTCAGAAGGAGTTGTGACTTCTACTCGTGATGCTCGGGTAAAGCTTCACCAGCTTTATGCTAACAAATACAGATCACGAGTAATGGATCTCAAGGAGATGCTTACCAACATCACTTGCAATCCTCGATCTATTGCTGTGTATCTTCAAACCATCAAAGGAATTGCTGATGAGTTAGTTAGCACTCATTTAAGTGATGATGATCTGATTACTTTTGCTCTCAATGGCCTTGGCAGCGACTTTAAGGAGATTTCTGCTGTAATAAGAGCTAGAGACACTCCTGTTTCATTTGAAGAACTTCATGACAAGCTGGTAGAACATGAAGCTTTCTTGAAAAGAGAAGAGTCGCGTGGTGGTTCAAGTGTCACTGTGAATAGTACTCGCACAAGTTTTGGCATGCTCCACAAAGCTTCTCTACCTTTAAAATACTGGTCTCATTCTTTCCTTGCTGCTGCATACTTAATCAATCATAGGTGAGCTATTCTTTAGCTACTGTTATCTTTTTGTTGTAACGAACTGTGTTCAAATATTTGTATTAATAATCAAGCGATTTGAATCTCACCATCTGATTTTATCTAATTATTAAAAAGTAATAGAAAACCATTATTGGACTTCATCTATCAGCTTAATCTGAGAGCTGGTTTTCTGAAGCACAAGGACTTCAAGTAAAGGGAGGTGATGACACAAGTAGGAAGACCACTTAGCAAACTCCAACCCAGCATTTAGAGAATAAGAACATAACCTCAAAGGCAAGAGTCGTTCCCTTTTATCTGGACATAACTGTACCAAAAGACAATGAGTGTCGCGTTCTCAATCTAGAGATCTTTGAAATCCTTGAAATCCATCACTAGAAAAAGGAAGAAGAAAAGAGAAAGAGCTGGAAGTTTGCACCTATCCTCCAGGCGCAGTGAACAAATGACATTGATGGATGTCAACAGTTCAGATACCGAGAAAAAATGTATCTTTGAAAAAATTGAATTTTTGTATTTAAATGGAGAAATCCATGTTAAGAATAAACAAGCACTACCTATAATTCTAACGACAGAGGGGGTCTCATCAATACATTAACCACTCATGCATGATGAGCTATAGCCTCGAGCCATCTAGACTTGAATTAAGAATATCTGGCAGGAGAATACATGGGCCTAACAGGAATCTGGTGTCTCTTTTATTTGGGTTTCGCTCTTCAAGGAGAATATAAGTAGTAGCATGAGGGAATTTCGCAATGCAACTCTGTTTTTTGTTGTTTTTGGTGGGTTTATGATGAACCTATGACCCGATTGAATTAAGAACACCAAGATCTATCACTATATTTTTAGTAGAAAAACAGTGTTATAATTACAAAAGTATTCAGCTAGCTCTCCCACATCATTGTCTGTCCATGGATGGTCATGAGGATCGATTTGTTCAGTTGGCAAATTTCTCATATATTTGCTCATATGTCAGGAACATGACTTTTGTAAAATATTTTTTAATTAACAATATATTAAAATAATTTTTTAATTATTCATATCAGTACATCAAAACCATAAAAAAAAATACATACAAAAACATCAATTTAATAATTTTTCAAGATTATTTTGTTTTTGAAAAATGGGTAGAATTGCTTTACCAAATGGAGCTGAATTCATTCTATTTCAGATTCTGAAGGGGCAAATTGCTCATCAACGTACAATGAAGCCAACATTTTAATTATTATAAAAAACTAAATTGATTAGATAGTTCCTTTTCACCACCAAAAATAATCTGTTACAGAACATGCCTAATTTCTTCCACCTTGCTTGTAATGCTTTGTACCGATCGACATGCCCTGACGCAATCGATTCGATACAACACAACAATTATAGTCACAACAATGCAATTAAAAATAAGAGTATAAAGAATTTCTGATTATAATAAACAAGTGAAAATACTAGTACTCATCTATGCTAATTTCTCTCTTTCTCTCTCTATATATATTATTAATCTACGAGTTTTAAAATTAATAATTATATAAATTTTTAATATAAAATTTTGATTAATAATTTAAAAAAAATTAAAATTTAAAAAATTAAAATGCACCTGTAAAATTATATAATATAGATAATAACTGCATCGTAGGTTGCTTAAAGCTTAGGTTGATGGCAGTGGGAAGATTTATTCTTATATTAACTGTAGCATAGCACCTTTCTACAGGTTTTCTCGTTGCGAGCCTCATCATCGGGATTTCCACCGACAAAGCAAGGAATCGAACCTAAGACTTCCATCTCTGACACCAATTTTGCTCTCAAAAGGATTTCCACCCTCAATGATAATTTTTTGATGCACAGGCGGCCTTATCAGAAATGCTGAGTGCTTGTATGCAATGCATTCGACGATGGAAATCATCGACAGGATTTTTTATTTTGATTAAACGGGTAAAAATATTGCTTTATTGTATTTAAATGAAAAGATTTAAATATTCTTAAAGAATAGTTTAATTTTTTTTTTTGATATTGTTAATTATTGGATTAGGTCTGATCTGTTTATAATAGATGAATCTAATTCAAATTATTAAAAAAATTATTAAAAAAAATAATAATTTTTTTTAATTATATATAAAAAGACATAACTCATATGAAAGAATATAAATTTTATATTTTTCTTTTTTTTTTAATTTTAATTCTCTGCATTGACTTGATAAGATTTATAAAGATGATAATTTATAAAAAATAATAATTTTAATGAAATCTATTATCCCATTTACAAGTTTGACTTGTTAATATTATGTTGAGTAATGCAAAGCTGTTTGACTCAAGGCCACTTCGTATGATAAAGAGATTTCCCTGGGAATATTGCCTTTGAGTTTGCTGATAATTGTTTACCTGGTATGCCGCATTCCAAACCGCATTCAAATGATGTTTTCAGTGGGGGTTTCGGATCTTATTGAAATTATATTTTTTTTTAAATTAAAATTTTTTTATTTAATTTTTTTAATGTTTTAAAATTATTTTAAATCTCAGTTTGAAATGCTGACAGTTTCCGCGAAGATAAACAGGTTCGAAAAGTTAGCAGAAAGCTGGAGAGGTTTTCTAAGGAATCTGGGAGCATTCCATTTAAAGGATCGTATCCAATCCTCAATACTTCTAACTCCCTACAGTTTGTTGGAGAATTGACAAATCTAAGTTCTTAACTCGAAGGATCATTGGTAAAGGAATTGGATTCCAAACATAGTTCTTTCAAGGCTCTCAAATTTCCAAGTTCTTGCTGAGAATTTCCATGGATGTTGTTATATAACAAGTCAAGAAAATTCTACTCCTTGCTTCTCTTAAGTTCTCCCATGGTATCAGAGCTGTTAAAGACTCCTACGAGTTTTTTTCTTGATCCAAAACCTCTCTTTGAAAATATCCTGCACCATGGCCAGAAACACGACTAGCAGAACCAATGTATCACTCATCTCTTCCACTTCTTTCTTTGATGGAATAATCTCCATTAACGCAACTTCCCAACTACCCATCAAATTGAACAGCAACAACTTCCCCTCTTGGAAAGCACAGTTTGACGCCCTATTATATGGTTATGACCTCATGGGATTTCTTGATGGGAACACGACATGCTCATCCAAGGAAATGATTGCCAAAGATGGAACAACTGTTTCAAATCCAGACTGTGTTATTTGGACTAGGAAAGATAAATTGCTCCTTCACGCAATCCCTGCGTATCTTTCAGAAGGAGTTGTGACTTCTACTCGTGATGCTCGGGTAAAGCTTCACCAGCTTTATGCTAACAAATACAGATCACGAGTAACGGATCTCAAGGAGATGCTTACCAATATCACTTGCAATCCTCGATCTATTGCTGTGTATCTTCAAACCATCAAAGGAATTGCTGATGAGTTAGTTAGCACTCATTTAAGTGATGATGATCTGATTACTTTTGCTCTCAATGGCCTTGGCAGCGACTTTAAGGAGATTTCTGCTGTAATAAGAGCTAGAGACACTCCTGTTTCATTTGAAGAACTTCATGACAAGCTGGTAGAACATGAAGCTTTCTTGAAAAGAGAAGAGTCGCGTGGTGGTTCAAGTGTCACTGTGAATAGTACTCGCACAAGTTTTGGCATGCTCCACAAAGCTTCTCTACCTTTAAAATACTGGTCTCATTCTTTCCTTGCTGCTGCATACTTAATCAATCATAGGTGAGCTATTCTTTAGCTACTGTTATCTTTTTGTTGTAACGAACTGTGTTCAAATATTTGTATTAATAATCAAGCGATTTGAATCTCACCATCTGATTTTATCTAATTATTAAAAAGTAATAGAAAACCATTATGGGACTTCATCTATCAGCTTAATCTGAGAGCTGGTTTTCTGAAGTACAAGGACTTCAAGTAAAGGGAGGTGATGACACAAGTAGGAAGACCACTTAGCAAACTCCAACCCAGCATTTAGAGAATAAGAACATAACCTCAAAGGCAAGAGTCGTTCCCTTTTATCTGGACATAACTGTACCAAAAGACAATGAGTGTCGCGTTCTCAATCTAGAGATCTTTGAAATCCTTGAAATCCATCACTAGAAAAAGGAAGAAGAAAAGAGAAAGAGCTGGAAGTTTGCACCTATCCTCCAGGCGCAGTGAACAAATGACATTGATGGATGTCAACAGTTCAGATACCGAGAAAAAAATGTATCTTTGAAAAAATTGAATTTTTGTATTTAAATGGAGAAATCCATGTTAAGAATAAACAAGCACTACCTATAATTCTAACGACAGAGGGGGTCTCATCAATACATTAACCACTCATGCATGATGAGCTATAGCCTCGAGCCATCTAGACTTGAATTAAGAATATCTGGCAGGAGAATACATGGGCCTAACAGGAATCTGGTGTCTCTTTTATTTGGGTTTCGCTCTTCAAGGAGAATATAAGTAGTAGCATGAGGGAATTTCGCAATGCAACTCTGTTTTTTGTTGTTTTTGGTGGGTTTATGATGAACCTATGACCCGATTGAATTAAGAACACCAAGATCTATCACTATATTTTTAGTAGAAAAACAGTGTTATAATTACAAAAGTATTCAGCTAGCTCTCCCACATCATTGTCTGTCCATGGATGGTCATGAGGATCGATTTGTTCAGTTGGCAAATTTCTCATATATTTGCTCATATGTCAGGAACATGACTTTTGTAAAATATTTTTTAATTAACAATATATTAAAATAATTTTTTAATTATTCATATCAGTACATCAAAACCATAAAAAAAAATACATACAAAAACATCAATTTAATAATTTTTCAAGATTATTTTGTTTTTGAAAAATGGGTAGAATTGCTTTACCAAATGGAGCTGAATTCATTCTATTTCAGATTCTGAAGGGGCAAATTGCTCATCAACGTACAATGAAGCCAACATTTTAATTCTTATAAAAAACTAAATTGATTAGATAGTTCCTTTTCACCACCAAAAATAATCTGTTACAGAACATGCCTAATTTCTTCCACCTTGCTTGTAATGCTTTGTACCGATCGACATGCCCTGACGCAATCGATTCGATACAACACAACAATTATAGTCACAACAATGCAATTAAAAATAAGAGTATAAAGAATTTCTGATTATAATAAACAAGTGAAAATACTAGTACTCATCTATGCTAATTTCTCTCTTTCTCTCTCTATATATATTATTAATCTACGAGTTTTAAAATTAATAATTACATAAATTTTTAATATAAAATTTTGATTAATAATTTAAAAAAAAAAAAATTTAAAAAATTAAAATGCACCTGTAAAATTATATAATATAGATAATAACTGCATCGTAGGTTGCTTAAAGCTTAGGTTGATGGCAGTGGGAAGATTTATTCTTATATTAACTGTAGCATAGCACCTTTCTACAGGTTTTCTCGTTGCGAGCCTCATCATCGGGATTTCCACCGACAAAGCAAGGAATCGAACCTAAGACTTCCATCTCTGACACCAATTTTGCTCTCAAAAGGATTTCCACCCTCGATGATAATTTTTTGATGCACAGGCGGCCTCATCAGAAATGCTGAGTGCTTGTATGCAATGCATTCGACGATGGAAATCATCGACAGGATTTTTTATTTTGATTAAACGGGTAAAAATATTGCTTTATTGTATTTAAATGAAAAGATTTAAATATTCTTAAAGAATAGTTTAAATTTTTTTTTGATATTGTTAATTATTGGATTAGGTCTGATCTGTTTATAATAGATGAATCTAATTCAAATTATTAAAAAAATTATTAAAAAAAATAATAATTTTTTTTAATTATATATAAAAAGACATAACTCATATGAAAGAATATAAATTTTATATTTTTCTTTTTTTTTTAATTTTAATTCTCTGCATTGACTTGATAAGATTTACAAAGATATTCATACCATAAAATATTACTTTGATTCTAGTAATTAAAGTGACATTAAAGTAACTGATCTAGAAATAAAAAATTAAATTCTCACAAATAAATTTTTCTTTCCAATCTATAGATATAAAACATATTCAAGTTATTTTATTGTTGAAAAAAAAAACACTTATATCCTAAATAATTGATTATTAATGACCAATAAATCATATAAAAAATAAAATCAACCCAAAACTAATAATATTTTATTTTTTTAGTTGAAAGAGCACAATAATCATTGAATTTGGTAGAGATAGTAAATTTAAGGTGTGTGAACAATGATTTGCATAGTGTTTTCTCAAAGGGTTCTAAGGTTTTTGTTAATAAACAAAACATTACACACAAACAAATTTAATCTAACACTTTGAGTAATTTCAAAATTTCCTATTTAACTAACGTGATTATAAAATTATGAGAAATCTATTTAGGTTTTTATTTTTCATTTCATACTTTATTTATCAGCTATTAAATTTTACTTATCATATTAACTTTGGGATCTAACTTTTTATAAAAATAATTTAAAATTAATCCACTTTAGCTCTATTCATCAAGTTAAAACTTGATTTCATTTTTTTAATAATTATTTTTTAAAAATAATATTACTTTATTTTTTTTTAACTTAAAGCAACATTATTTTGATTACTTTACGTCTACAACTATGATAATCACATACATATGATAGAGTGAGTATTGATAACGATGAAAAATTATTATTCCTAATTTGCAGGGACGGGAAGTGTGGATAAGTTCTGGATTGAAAACAAAACACAACAAATACATAGACCTATGATAGGTTAAAAGTTAAACCTGTAATTATCAAACATTATTAACCAGAGAACAAACGGACTAACCAAGGCATTTTCTTAACATTACAGCTTAAATCCAGACAAGTTAATCGTCGTACATGTGTCACGCATGGTTCATTAATCAGCAACCGCACAATAGCTTTCCTTCTCGTCTCGCTGTCTGCTTTTCGTCAACGTCAATTTCCTTTTCCTCTGAAGCCCAGGTTTTCTTCCCTTCATCAATCTATCCATCCATCAATACAAAGCTCATTAAAGCTTACAATTTAAGGTAAAAGTTCTCTTTTCCTCTTTTTATGATTTAGCAATTTGGGGTAACTCTTGTTTGTTGATGGGAATTATGGGATTGTTTCAAGATTCAAACTTGGATTATAGTTTAGTGACAATTGCTTTTTTTTTATACCCTTTATGGAGTATAGGTTTTGTACGATTTCTTAGGATTATAGGGAGAAAAGAAGAAGAAAAATTGAAACTTTTTTTTTTTTTGGTTGTTACTACAGGGGCAATGGCAACGCCATCGGGGTCATGGATGCAAGAATTCAATGAAGCATCAAAACTTGGTGATGAAATTAATGGTATGATTAATGGGAAGAATTCTTTGCCTCCATCAGGACCAGAAACACAAAGGCATCTTTCTGCAACTAGGAGAAAGATCGCTATTTTGAGGACTAAACTTGATATTTTGCAGTCCCTTTTGACGGCACTTCCTAGCAAGCAGCCAATGTAAGTGCTTTTCTGTTCTTGTGAATTGTTGTTTAGTTAGTTGTTTCAATAAATTCATTCTTCCCATTAATCATACCATCTGTGTTAGTAACAAACTTCCTAATGGTTCTTTAATATGGTTATGGAATCCTATTTCATGTTTGTGGTTATCCTTTTTGGCGAATGTTATGGCGGGGACAGTTTTTCAAAGTAAATATCAATTTCCGGGAGCTGGAACAATGTTGAATGAATGGAGTACTTGTCTTCGTGTTGACTGCCTTGTAACGGCAATTCTTCGATTTTTTTTTTTCACTTTTGTTTTATAGAGAGTTGAGTTTTGATTATGTGGTTTGAGTGCTCCTCTAAAGCTGCCAAGAAATCCCTTTCCATACTATTGTATCGTGTAGTAATCTATACACGAGGAATAGAAAGTGTCAACATGTTGATCTTTCAGTAGGTATTACCAAAATCAAATGAATGACAGATTTATACCGAGACAAGCAATTCTTTGTTTCTTTCTTCTTTTTGTGTTTTAGAAGGTCGTTTGCTATGTGGATGTGGTGTTCCTCCAGAGTTACATTGAAAAACCCTTTTCATGGGAGGATCAATTTCTGAAGATAAGATGCGTAGTAATGCATGGTATTCTGCACATAAACAGGGGAATTCTTTCATATGTTGAGCTTTCAACAGATTTTTACCAAAATCAAATGAACAAGAATTCATTGGTAAATAGAAGGGATAGGTAGATATGTATGATATGCCAAACTATGTGTTAGCTGTAGTTTCCCATCCTGACCTTGTTGAAAACCATACTTTAGTGAAACCATACTTAATCTATTGTGATATGTTAAACCATACCTTAGCCATAATTTTCACCCTGACTTTGTTGACAACGTTTGATTGATACTGTCATGAACAGAACAGGGAAAGAGATGAATCGGCTTCAAGATATGCTGAAAAATTTGAGCACTAAAGTTAACCAGATGGCTACTACTCTCAATATGTCCAGTGCTGCCAACAGAGAGAACTTGCTTGGGCCTGATAAGAAGACAGATGATATTGTGGATAGAGCATCTGGCTTGGACAACCATGGTCTTGTTGGCTTTCAACGGCAAATCATGAAAGGCATGTTGATATAACTTAGATGCTTTTGCTTTCACTGATTTGATAATGATGTAATGCAGATTTGTAACTTGATTTGCATAAAAAACACAGAACAAGATGAGGGCCTTGAAAAATTGGAGGAGACAGTGACGAGTACTAAACACATTGCACTGGCTGTCAACGAGGAACTGACCCTACACACTAAGCTTCTGGTGGGTGTTTTTGATTTATTCCCCATCTTCCTCTTTTACAATCTCCTTGCATTTCGACCATCCTTTAACATTTTGGAGTTGTTTGCGTCCTTTAACAAAATATTGCCTTCTCTTTTAATGCAGGATGACTTAGACGAGCATGTGGATGTAACAAATTCCCGTCTACAGGTTTGTTTTCTGGTTTTTACCTTAGTTTTTCTTAATGATTGGTTTCAATACGGAACTCACAAGGGGTGAAACGATGGATTTATTAGGGCTTTTAAATTGTGTGAAAGAGTTTTATCTTTCTGATCTCTTCATAATTTACTCAGATTTGTGTGTTTTAACCTCTAAGGTACCTGAATTATACTTAATGCTTATGCTGTTATTTGTGCAACAGACTGTTCAAAGGAAACTGGCTCTTCTGAACAAACGCACTAAAGGCGGTTGCTCTTGCGTGATCTTACCGGTCATCGCCATTGTCATTCTAATTGTGGTAATCCGGGGGCTGTTTAAATATTTGTAACTTAGAGGATATCACCTTCTAAATTATGATGTATTTTTTTTCCCTGCCTGTGGCCCTTCATGGAAGTGCCCGGCTACACTTTCACGGTAGGCAGACAATGTTTGTTGGTCTTATGGTTATGTGTATAATTGTAGTGAACTCATCGTAGGAATGCATCGATGATCATGATTAACATGCATTTCAAATTATGTGTGCACCCTTTATGCATCAAATACAACCACTATCTTGATTTCGATCTTTGCTGTGTACTCTCCTTTGCTAAGCATCGTTTGTCAGTACTTGCTTGGGTTTGGCTCGGTTAAGGGTCCAGGCGACCAGGTCATCGGGGCAATCCTAAAATGACATGGTTTCAGTTTTTTTTTTCCAACAAGACGATGTTATTTTAGATAAAAAATCAAAGTAAATTCAAGAAGTTCATCGGATTAGATCTTATTTAGATTTGATTGAATAAATTAGATTGCGAGTTGATCCGATATGGAAATGATTTGAGATCAACTAAGACGATAAGGTCTTCAAGCACTGTTTGGCTCCATGTTCGAATGTGTCCAGATACTAAAGGTTAGGGTTTAGGACCCAACCGGTCCCGCACTGAAACCCCAGAACCTTCCCCGATAGGACTTTTTTTTTTTAACGTTTGTACAAGCCTCTTCCCTACCTGCATTTTCTTAATAGTAATGTACTATATTAATTAATTCTTAAAAGAAAATGTCTGAAATGCTAAAATAATTCCTTGTCTTTAATCCTACTTTCCCAACATTTCCAGAACCTGCAGATAATTGCATCTCAATTGATCTAAAAGCTCATACCTCACTCAAAATAATCGGCTACTTAAAATATTTATTAACATGAAATTTATTTTCAATGGTCACTTAATTATTAATTAATCCATGTTAATTGTTTTTATTAAAACAATAATGTTTTGTTATTTTTTTCTTTAACTGGTGATTTGATCTGGTTGAGACCGGGTTAAATTTAGTTAATCAAACCACTAAAAACCCATGGTAATGAACAAGTTTAGCTGGGTCAATGCCTTACTAAGTACGTACAAGCTGACCCGAACACCCACATTAATCTTAAACTAAAAATTTAACTCGGGTCAATCTGTAGACCAGACCGACAGCCCATATTTTTAACTCGGTTCAATCTGTAGACCAGACCGACAGCCCATATTGAATATCAAAGAGATATACAATCCCACCATAGCATTAATGCATGTAACAGCTCAAACAATTCTAATTATTTACATAATTGCCACTCTTCTTAGATTAGGAACCCCTTTGATCGATTTGTAGGTGTACAGCTACCCCCAGGGGAGCCAGCAGAAAAATTATTCTCTTGTGTTTCTCTACGCAAACAGAGCTTATGCACTAGATACATTTCTCAATTCTCAAGAAATCATCATTCTCTTCTCGTTTTCTTGCTAAGGTAAGTCGTAATCAAATAGCCATTCAATGTTTTTTTGGTAGATTTTTTTAATTGCTTTATTGATTTAAAAATTAGCTACCAATTGAATTGAATTCTGATTGAAAGAAGAATTGGGAATCTTATTTAATGACTAATGGGCACTGTGAAAGTTTAGATCTTTCGTGAAAATTGTATCAGTTTTGATCAAATTGGAAGTTGTAATTGTAGGGGAAATGTCGTCACCATCAGAATCATGGATGCAAGAATTCAATGAAGCATCTAAACTTGGTGATGAAATCAGCGCTATGATTTCTGGGAAGAACTCTTTGCCTCAATCAGGACCAGACACACAACGGCAATTCTCTGCGGCTCGGAGAAAGGCCACTATTTTGAGGACCAAACTTGATATCTTGCAGTCCCTTTTGTCAGCACTTCCTAGCAAACAGCCATTGTAAGTGTTTCTGGTATATGTAAAGGGTTCTTTGGTATTGTAATGGAATCTTGTTTTGTATTCGTGGGTGGCTGATTTTTTGGTGAGTGTTGAGGTGTGTGCTGTTTTTTGAAATTAATGTTCATCTTGAGGAGCCAGGAAAGTTCTAAATGAGCGAAGTGCTTGTGTTAGCTTGGATGGGAATTTAACAGCAATTGTTTTGTCCTTTCTTCTAAATGTTTGGTGAGTGTTAGGGTGTGGGCTGTTTTTCAATTTAATGTTTAAGGCGCTAGGACAGTGCTAAATAAGTGGAGTACTTGTGTTACTTCAGATGATAATTTGACAAAAAGTGTATGTTCGTTTTTTTGCATTTTGTTTTATAGAAAGCTTTGGTTGTGGTTTTCAATGCTTAGCCACATCTGTGTAGAAAACCCTTTTCATAGGAGGATAAAAAATCGAAGTGGATACTAAGTAATGTGTAGCATTCTACAGTTGAGAGTGATTTTTTTTTTCTTTCAACAGATATTTTACCAAAATAAGATGAATGAGTCATTTGTAGACAATTATATTGGGTGAGGAGGGAGGGGTAGAGTAACTTTTTCTGTAAGATATGCTAAGCAATAAATTTGCTGGTGGTTCCTTGCTGACCTTGATGGAAATCTCTGATTACTATTTCATGATCAGATCTGGGAAAGAGATGAATAGGCGTCAAGAAATGCTGAAAAATTTGAGTACAAAAGTTAACCAGATGGCTAGTGCTCTCAATATGTTCAGTGCTGCTAACAGAGAGAACTTGCTTGGGCCTGATAGCAAGACAGATGATGTTATTAATAGAGCATCTGGCTTCGACAACCAGGGTCTTGTTGGTTTTCAAAGGCAAATCATGAGAGGCATGTTATCAAAACTTTGCTCTTCTTTTTTTTGCTTCCTGTGTTTTTTTGATTATGCAATGCAGATTCATGACTTGTTTTGCATAAAAAACAGAACAAGATGAAGGCCTAGAAAAATTAGAGGAGACGGTGACAAGTACAAAACACATTGCATTGGCTGTCAATGAGGAACTTACCTTGCACACTAGACTTCTGGTGGGTGATGTTGATTTATTCCCCATTTATCTTATTTATAATCTCCTGGCATTTTCACCATCCTATAACATGTTGGAATTGATTGCAACTCTAACTCAATATTCCCATCTCTTCTTTATGCAGGACGACTTAGATGAACATGTGGATGTAACAAATTCCCGTTTACAGGTTTGTTTTCTAGTTTTGATTCACAGTTTGCAATTGATTGGTATGGATTCTTATTTCAATAGAAATAAAACTATGGATTGATTAAGGGCTTTTACTATTTGAAGGAGATGAACTTTCACCTTCTTTTGATAATTTTATGCTTAAATTTATGGTTGCATGAATGGTAACCATCACATTCATCTGATGCTTATGTTTGTTATATTTGGAACAGAGGGTTCAAAAGAATCTGGCTATCCTGAACAAACGCACCAAAGGTGGCTGTGCTTGCTGGGTCTTTCTGGTCATTGCAATTGTGATTCTAATTGTTGTCGTGTGGCTTTTGATTAAATATTTGTAATGTTAAGGATAGTAAGCTCGACGTTCTGATTTGTTTTGGCCTTGTGTGCAATTGCTTGGATGCACTTGCTTGGCAGAAACAGACAATGTTTGTTATTGGTCTTGTGGTTGTGATTTAAGTGTGTGCTTAACTCATGTATAGAGAGGTATCGGTGAGTGTCAACTGGGATGATAAATGGATCGTAATGGGTGTGTTTCTTTGAGCAATTTTAACAGATTTGACGGTTGGATTAAGGGTTTCTCAGGTTATTTTGGTTTTCGACTAATATGATAGCCAAGTCGTGGGCCATTTATCAAGGCATCTTGTTGGCTCAGAAGTTGGGCTGTTTTCGTTCGGAGTTGGAATCAGATTCCATGGAAGCAATTAGGCACATTTGGAAACTCCTAGCTCTTACTACCCTCATTTGTCAATCATTCTCGACATTCAAGCTCTTCAGTAAACGGATGGTCAATATAAGCTCATGCATGTTCTCCTGGAAGGGAAGCATCTTGCGGACTATTTATATGCTCATCTGGGTTATGGTTTTGCTACTGCAATGCAGGAATAGGAATCGCCCCCTCGCCTCCTGGGCGCGCATGGTTTTTGCAAGCTGATAAGATGGGAAGTGGTCTTCTCTGTAGGTGATCTTTCTTTTTCACTCTATTGTACCCAAGACAAAATAAAATAAAATGCATCAGAGGTTATTCCATCAAACAGAATCATGTTGTTGAGGTGTTGTCCTTACGAATTGCCAATCAAAAGCTGTAATACTAATGTTCTGTTCCAGCACAGTAGAGGAAAATGCTGTGTCCTGTGCTTGGACTCCCTATTGATTGAGTACAAATTTCAAGATATTTCACAATCCTAGCCCCTGGGACATGGTCTAAACCCTTTTCCTTTTGATGGCAAAATCCAAGTTATCTTACAAATTTCAAATTTTGGTTCTTATAAAGGTTTCTAACACGAGCTAAGCTTGTCTGTTTTGTCATGAACCGGAGGCTTAAACAATTAACAAGGGATTTAAGATTAAAATTGAGATTTGGGAGATATTTTTAGATTCAAATCTTGAAAGGGATAGAGTGGAATTCAAGGATGGAGGAAGGCTCTCCTCATGATGCAGTCTGTCCAAGTCCACCATGAAAATAAAAATAAAAATGCAAGCTACTGAAAAATGCTTCAGATATTGGCAAGAAATAAAATAGTAAAACAAAGAAAATGCCTTTGTCAACCAGAAGGTATTCATTTTATTATTATTGAATAAAAATAATCTCATAGGTATCATTTGATCACCTTATTCAGGCCAACATTTACCATGCCAAGTTTTTGAAGTCTTTCACGTACAATTTCATCTACAATCCTCAACATCTCTTCCATGAAAGTCATTTCTCTAACGTCAAACAGCTTCTTTGACATATTATCATTCCTGCCTCCAGGTTTTGTTGGACTAGCCAAGCTTCAGTTATAGATTTGTTAGGTTAATTTTTAAAATATATTGTTTCAATTTTTTTTTGAATAAAATGATGTTATATTAGATAAAAAAATAAACTAATATAATCAGTTTTTATCCATGGTTTGCTAGGTCAACAAAGTTTTGATTGGATTAACCTCTAAACTAGTTCAAAATAAAACCTAACCCAACTCAAGCTTATAATTAGCAAACTATCAAGTTGACATGTCAAACTAGACTAAGATTGTTTGGCACAGTAGTTACACCAATGTTTTGCCAATTCTTGAAATTGTTTTTGCTTTAATTTATTTTTTTGGGTGTTTTTAAATTGTTTTTCCTATATATCAAAAATAATTTTAAAAAATAAAAAATAATTTTAATATAT